ACATAGTCTGGGCTCTGTGAAACAGAGAGGATTCGACAGCGTCATAGACTTGTTTTGGATAACCCGAACTGTAATGAAGCACTCCGTCCGTATCTGTCGGCTTGCGATACATCGTCGTCTTTAGCCGTCCACCGTTCCTGTGAACTAGGCAATCGAGGAATGGCAATGTGCCACTGCAAGATTCCAGTTCCATAGTAAAGTTTATGTTTCCATTAATGGAGTTCCCTATAAAAAGGGAACCTCAGAAGCAATCAGACAAGTACTAAACAGGGCGAAAATAAGAGTGGTTTTTCGAAAGGGTAAAACGCTCTATCAGCACTTGTGCGTTTGAAGAATCCACTTCCAAGTGACTGGACGACAAATTGTGTTTATAAAATCCATTGCAAAGACTGTGAACACGTGTATATAGGTCAAACAGCGAGAGAGCTACGCACGAGGATAGCAGAACATAAGAGCTGGTTTCGCGTCCACCGAGAAATGAGCCTGAATACAGGGCCCTACTAAAACATTCAGCGGTGGCCGTACATGCGCTAGAGGCAGGACACGCGATTGATTGGGACAATGTCGAGATACTTAGGAGGGGATAACCAGCAACAAGCCAAAGGTTGATTGCTGAAGCGACCGAGATTACTAAGACTAATAACTGTGTGAAAAGAACAGACGGGGTGGAGTTATCGAACGCGTGGCGGACTGTGTTAACACGGTCAGTTCAGAAAAGGTGTCGGCGGACGAACTCAGGTCGGAAGAGTGAATCAGCAGCTGCCAGAAAGGAATACCTCACATGTGAACGACCCGTGACGTGGATCAATGAGGAACGCTCGCTGCTTGCTGTTTCACTAGCATGGCCACTTGACCTATTGACCTGTAACTATTATCTAATGCTTCATGTTATGACTTGCAACCTTCCCATAAAAAGCTAAGTCAATTTTGTACCAATTCACCTGGCCTGAAGAAGCTCTTGTGTCACAATAAAACCATACCAAAACCGATTTGTATTCTCAAAACTTCTGAAACCATGAAATCCCAGTCGGTTCCAAACATATTCCAATATAGTAAAGTCTACAAATTTTCATACAACTTCAACCAATCATTTACTGTAGGTTTTAATCTCTCCCTATACCCATTTTACCCCGGGTGACCCCATACTCCCTGTGTGTCATTGAGATCGCCTTTGATTAACCTTATGGTGTTCACTACATAACTGAACGCGTTTTCGCGCCTTCAGAATCTAAACTATTTCTGCAGAGCTGTTCCGGTTCACTTCGTATTCGCATCGTCACTGATGGTGGCATTGCTATTTAGCTAGAGAGGAAGAATACCTCAGTTGTCTTGCTGTAATACCAACCTGCGATCGGAACTGCGGTGAGCGCGCACACTGTGGCATGATAACAACAAGTACGACGGCAAAACACCGGGGGAATAATCACATCTTTCGAACAGCAATAGTTTAGGGCGATTTCAAAGGGGTCCCTCAGTACTGACTTGGTTAATCTCTCCGGACCTTTGTTCCCCGACATGATGCTGAACAACCCTGCCAAGTTTTCCAGTCCCTCTGTTTTAGGATTTTTCTACGTGAACTGTCGCAGACCCACCGACTCTAGCTGAGTGCACTCACATTAAATAGCACACGCCGCGGCGGGCACCTAGCTTTGCTAATGCACAGTCTCGAGTTTAATATGCAACTTACTTGAGCGCTGGGAGATATGTGGACCTGATAGCCGAATGAGAGGTTGTCTGACTCTGCATAGAGATCTAGCGCGTGTTGTGTCGTTCCCGTCACTGCGGTATTGTGACGGATTCAGGCTTTATCTCATAGGAAAATCGCGTTGTTTATGTGACACACAGGCTCACAGACGCGTAATTGAAAGCACGCGATTGGACAAAGCCAATGCGGATCGAGCAACTTACTATCTAATCGGATACGCACAACTAGACGCGTTAGCTTCGGAGTGCAGTGGTTCTCCTCATACAAACCACCGATGCTACATAGCCCTCGAGGCCAACGAACTAATTCATTGACACAAGTGCCAGTGAAAATGTGCAACGAAACGAAGTCTGCAGTTATGCATGTTTGCGCAGACCCGCATGAACAAGTATCCCTCACCCCTTTCACGGAGGACTGCGTCTTACGTCACTGAAAGTTGTCATCCCGTTTGGATTTCTTTCTCTTATTGTGTAATCGGAGCGGAATAAGATATGTGCAAAGTTTTAAACCAAATTTTTGGATTGTTTCGAACACGAGTAAAAGGGACTTCGTTATTTCGTCGAGAACACAACTTTTTACCACTATTTATTCTAGCTGCGCTAGTCACCGTTGTTGTCTTCCATTGAGCTGCTCATACGTCGCTCACACCTGGTCTCGGACCGGAAATTTAGGCCCTCAGCTTGTATACTGCGGATCACTGACTTGAATGCAGAACTCAGTGATCCTTGTTAGACTGAATTGAGGTGCTGTGGGTAACACACCTTCGCGAAGGAGAAGCATTTCGGCAACGTACACTGTAATAGCCTGATATCAAACTCGCTCTTTTGCATTCCCCCTTTTGGCTGATTTTTGACCGAATTCATCTTTGGCCCCCTTGGCTTCTCCCACTGGGCTTCGGATGATCATTCAGTTTTAATATGATAGATTTAGCTTCGAGTTCATTGTCGATTATATTTTCCTCGTGTCTTGTGATTCAGCTGCGGTCTGTGTCCACTTGTACCTCGGTACCTGCAATGCGAAAATTGATGTAACACAAATGTGGGCTGGTTTTAACTCTTTTATTGATGCTTTTCTGCTTAGTATCCGACGCGCTGCTCGGTTTTTCGGCAAGGTCCGTCCCAACCATATTCAATCAGGCCTCCGCCACACCATCTCCTCCATTTTCATACGAAACTGGTGTCCACGACTATCCTTCTACATGGCGGTAACTCAAATCGTTGGGTTGTAAGTGACGACGGCTTGTTCTTATGCCTCGTCACGGACAGAGATATCACGTGACTTTTCTTCCGCTCATATGCGAGTTACTACCATGCAAAGGAAAGCGTTGTCCCCAGAACTTCCACTTCTATAGCTAATATGTCCAAGTTTACTTACAACCGCACACGACTTTCTAGTAATTGGTCTTCTGCTTACGTAGGTGTCCTCCTTACACTAGTTCAATCTGTTCATGTTTTACTTCATTGTAAGTGCATGTGCCACTTTTCTAGATTTCCTACTTATAGTTGGCGGCATCTGGTTTCAGATTTGCCTGTCACTGTGGCCAGCCACAGGACGCCTGCGCCTATAGAGGGACCATGGGTGGCTTGCGCTGCACCACTCACAGCTCTAACCACACACCCCATATCCAGCGTAAACCCGAAGGAATAAGACCGGGAGGCATGTGGATGGGAGCCACGTTTCATCAACGGAGCCAGCCCACACTCCTTCACAGGCAAACACAAGCACGCTGTATTTGGGAATCAATCGCGCACAAGGCGGTGGCTGGACCGTAGTCCGCTCCACACTGAGTGCATGGAACCACTGTTCGAGCCTAGCACGGCCACAAGGACGGTGCACCCCGTCCTCTCCAGCAACGATCAACTGTCTCCTGGAGCCAGTATGGATGAGATAGTGGGTGATAGACAGGTAGGCACCTTGTCAACATGCAAATCAAGCGCAGTCATACCGGGGATGTCAAACAACAACCAATCACTTAGAGGACATTAACAAATAAAATATATCTATTAAAGAATACGGGTATGCAGACATAACTCTGCCCTAAATTAGCATATGAAGTAAGTTGTTTAGCAACGAATCCTCGATACGCACAAATAGTCCTTAAGTTACTCAATAAAGTTGACGAAGATAACCACATTTAGCGTAAGCAATGTATGCGAGAAGATTACTCGGGTAGGCAGAACAAACCAAATAATGTGGAATGAAATTTATCCGGCTTAAAATGTCCTAGTTTAACTGTATGCTGATTTAACTTAACTGCGGTGAAGAAGCACTATGAGAGTGCAACATCAACCTCAGCATGGAGCCTATTTCCTACTTATACTGTTCATGTTACATATCTCGTAGATTCCCTCGATGTTCCTCCCCATTATAACGTTGACAACATAATTGCTCCACTGTGTGTAAATCGTACTTCCATCTGTGTATTGTCGGATCATAACTTACTACACTTTCATTCTGTTCTTTCGACAACGGCGTCTCCATACACTCTAGCGAACCGCCGCGGCAGTAACTTGCTTACGTGGTCATTTCAAGTCAAACGTGTGAGTGAACTACGACACGTAATTTCATCGTTGACCGCGGTTCACTTTGTAATGATCCTCCATCATTATGATCGTAACTGATAAAGCCGTTAGATATTAGGTGTTGTCGGCCCGAAAACACAGCATTTCACGACCGTTTTCGAACTAATTCCATCACTTCAGATAGGGACAGCAGGTATCTAACTCGGGACCGTTTGGATGTCAGTTGTGACCGCTGCTCCACCACCACCAGATCACCACGGGCAATGCTGAGCACCACGGGTAATGACTGGTTGGCGTAGAGATTTCGATGTACACCTTGTGTGATTGGGTTACGATGTGTATTGTGGTGAATCGTAGTCGATGATTCGTTCACTGGGGCTGTAGTTGAAGCACAGAAATCTTGCGTGTCGCTCGGTGACAACGCTGTGCCGGCTTCATACTCATCATATAACAGCACCATTTGTTTGTTTCATATGTGTGGGGGTCATTGTAAAGCACATTACGGTTCAGCTTGATATTGAGCGCCGCAATCCATTCACACAACGAGTGCTTTAAAATCACTAGCCCCCTCCAATTACTCGTTGAACTTTGTTACATGCGTTGCCCACGACCCAGTAAGTAATCCGGCTTCCAGTCGCAGTCCTATTCTGTCTACTTGACGAATGTAAACAAGCGCAAAATTGCTCTTGGAGTGACCCATTGCCAGCGTTCCACACGCTGTTGTTGCCATTTGTGACTGTTGTGTTTTTATTCTTGAACTTCCAATTTTTCAGGCTGCGAACTTTGTGTTCGTCAACTGGCCGCTGTGTTAGAGACAAGCGAAGGTGGTGTGTTGCATGTGGACCGTTTCGAGATCGCGAATCATCGTAACTCGCTGAAAATGCATGTGTATCTGCTTTGTCAATTTGTCGACATGTTTGAGAACGAATTGAATGCCAACGCGAAATCAAACGCAGCTATGAAAGTGAGTTCACGGTCCTTTGGACTTCTCCCAATTTTCTCCTTTGAGATATCTTTCTTTCTTTCCTGGCATATTTGTGTACATATGCTTGTATTAACCAGCCATTTGCTATTAGAGCAGTAATGTACGTTCCACCTGCACCGTCAGAATTTCGTGTTCTGATCGCTTTGTTGCCGAGTGTCCTTTTGCACTTGGCGTCTTCTATTTTTTGCATTTCTTGCTCTTGCTTCTCCTGTTTATTACCTCAACGACGGCAATCGGATTCATCGCGGTTGGTCACCCTGGTCACGGTTAATTGGCTGAATTTAACAGACCTTAACCATGTCACTCACATTTGAAGTCCTTATTTGTATCTTTTTGAGCTGCTTTCTCTTTAGGTTCTGTGAGATTCTTTGGGTGCTTTGGAGTCATCACATTTCCGGATTGATTGGAGATATGTAGTCTCTAACAGACTACAATTTATGCTAGGATGTTGCCTTTTTGAACCACCAACGTTAGGTTCGTTTGATACTACCTGACTAAAGGTACAACAGCTTTACAGAAAATTTCGCCAGCGAGCGGTTTGAGCCTGTTTGATCTCATACGCTTTCCTATCGGCAGGTTATCATTGAATGGCTCAGCTAGATGATATTCGTTTCCCTAAATAATGCTAGCCCCATACTTCAACTAATTCTCGGGGAGCTATTGATTTGCTTATAATCCTTCCAGCGGAAAGGTGATTAACGTCTAGTACCAATTTCCGGGAGTCAGCCACCTAGTAAACGTCCATCCACGTGTTGTAACGTCACCACAACTACTCGTCGTCCATGACATTTTTTTACTTCAATGTTGGATAGCTTAGTGATAAGCACATCTCCAATTCTCTGTGTTCTTTGTGGCTTCTCTGTCACTGCATACGCCGATCTTTGTGCTCTGTGGTGTAATCTGTGTAAACTTGTTGCTTATTTAATAGATCGGAAGACCTGTAACTCGGGTTCGCATTTGCGATGCCGATTGGTTCTCACAGCTAGGAAATTTGATTGCAGACGTTTCGCCACCAATCGAAGCGGCGTCTTCATTGTGTACTAGTCAGTAGCTTGCTAACAGACACTGAACCTCGTGTTAATCCAGCTGCTGGGCTGTTCATTACATACATTTTGAAACGCTCGTAGCCACTTTTCATTCAGATTGGCTCAATCTTTGGGTACTTGCGGCTGGTGTGAAGCCTGCTGCGATGTAAGGTTGCTCTTTGAAATGTTATTGGTGTAATAGCCATTTTGTTGACTATTGTTATCTTGTCGACCACGTCGTAGCAACCGAATCCACCGCACTCCGAGACCAGAACCATCGTTTCTTGATCGAACTTATTTGCTAATCAGCCATACGGTTTCCTTAGTTCTGTCTGTTATTCATTTTCGTTATCTGTTTTCTGTGCTCTCCTATTTGAAAGCTGGAATGTCTTCCATTTGATGTGGAATTGCTTCCACTAAAACAAAGCAGTGTCATGGACTGTATTAGGGAACAGACGTTTCAGTTACTTTTCGAAATTCCGAAACTCATTTTCTAACACTACAATCTTTCCACAGATGCTACAGTACCAGACGGTTTGAACAAGGAATCACCTTCTGTATACGTATCTCTTCGTGTCTGCTTTAATATATTTCTTTTACTGCTTCAGTAGACGTTTTGGCGATGTCATGAATGGGATTTAAAGGTTGCTTTCAATTCATGTGAACGTATTCGTCGGGTACTTGTAAGCACGTCAGTCACATGTACGCAACTGACTATTCTGTTTCTCTGTTTACAGTCCCGTTTTATTTCTTGCTTGCATTTGACAGCTTCACTTATCCCTCCCTTTACATTTCCTACCTCCGGAGTCTATGTTTGTACAGTGCTTCTCCGATTTAGGAACTAACCAGACTTGACACCTGTTATAATTGAGGGGACGCCGCCTCTGTTATGATTGCGTAATTGCCTGATAAGATTGTCGCTGGCACGGTTGGAGCACGCCTACGATGACGACTTGTAACGCTGGCCAATCGAACGGCGTTGCGCTGACCTGATGACGCTAGCTTAGCCGGTGAGACGGAAAATTGAGCGAGCGAACGATCCTAGCCGCACGTGTTCGGATAGACGCTGAGCCCTCGGAACGGACGCACACGAGAGGGGGTTACGTAGACGTGCGCTAATGACTTAGACGCGTAGGCTGGCCAGCTAACGACTCACACGCAATCAAGTGACCCGACCGACTCCCAACTGAGGCGAAGAGAAAGAAAAGGCAAGTGGTCCTCTGTAGGCTCTTTTACGACCAACAAAGGGCGAATCACAGGCAATGCTATGGGTCATTAAGTAAGGGAAAACTGTCACCACGAAGAGGTGGTAGTTTGCAAATGAGCATTGTCGAAAGGTGCGCAGTTGGACCGCGTCTCGGAGTGGCTGCACACCGCTGCGTTGTGGGGGGGGGGATTGGACCTCGCTTTCCACAGCCGTTCTTCCGGGGTTTCTGGCGCGTTTTTGCGGGAATATTTGACGGCCCCTCAACAACACCACTGCACGGTACGCCCATTTGAACTCACTCATTCGTCGGGACATCACACTGGGTCAGGCGACTGCCGGAGGGTTGTTCTCGGTGTAGCGACGTTGGTTGACACAAAGACAGAGTTTATCGATCATTGTCGGCTTTGTAGAAATCGGTCAACCGTTGTGGTCGACACGTTGGTGCTAGGGTCAACGGTCTAGACACGGATTCAAAGCTAGCGTTTGCATAAGGGCAGTGTCCTACCAGTCTGTATTTCCAACGGATGTAAGAAGACTTCTTGGTGCCAAAACAAATAAAATTAGCGTTTAGCATATGGACAACAGCTTTTTGCGTTAATTCCTCTTCGAATCCCCCAGGTTACTTTATTCCTGTTTCAGTGAACTTCCACGCTTTTGTACATAGGGGATACATTTCTGCCTTCGGCCTTAATTTCTTGTTGCTGACTGTGGGAACGCAGTGTATATGCTTATTAGGTGGGGTTTGCAACCATATGCACTTCATCTTTCAGGTTGACAACCGTTCAGTCCATCAAAGAGGTCCGCTTTCACAATTTTTCATCCACCGCAGTAGAGCACTTATTTGCGTTCACACACCAAAGTGTGTTCTCTTATTTGTATGCTTACTGAACCATATTAAATATAGGAATTTTTAAAATAACGTACATGATTGTTCATTGCAGGGAATAGACATTAAACCTTTATATAAAGTGAATTACTCTTTTTCTCAGCTATCGTTTGAATTTTGCGCTACAGACTGTTACATAAGTGCTTGCGACTACAGAACAGAATGTCAGAAAGTGATGCTAAACCGAAAATCTCTGTGTGTCTTTGTCTGAATAAAAATACCTATTTGTGTATATACTCGGAAAGTAAGCCGGTTGTGTGCGTGAGTTTCGTATCAGTCTCCAAAATTAGTAAGGAGATGGAGGGAGGGAATAATTCCTAGGCTTAGCGATTCACTTCATCAGGCTGGTAATTTCGGATTTAATGGGTGCGAGTTGGTTGGTGTGCGATAAGCAGGAGATAAGGTACCAAAGAAAGGTACGTCAAAGCAACGCAACCGTGCATCCTGAAGGATTCTCTTGAATTTCTTAAATAACGCACGATATATCTAATCTGCATGTTGGTGTTTTTAAATTCCCTTTCGGAGAAGACTGCTCTAATCTTTTCGTCTTCCTCCTCATGTCCGCTTTACACTTAGTGTGCCCCACCAGATGGACTGTTTGATATGAATGCCACCGCGGCATTTTTAGTCGTTCATTGAACGGTGTGTACGCTTCGTGCTTTTGGGTTTTGGTTTGGTTTTGCCCTTACATTTGATCACGGCGAGTGACTTATTTTCTGCAGCCGGCCCGTAGCCTTAAGGGTCACAAGCCTGCCTAGTATTCCGAGAGCGCGGGTTCGATCTTGCGTAGGAACCGCGCGACCCTCGCAGTATCCTTAGCCCACACCCGACTGGTGGTGGTTGCTCGGCAGCGAAACATCGGTACTGCGTACCGGTTGATTGCCGATGTCTATTGCTCTGATCGCTAAGATCGCACCGGACCGCTCTGAGTGGCTGTTCAAGTAAATCTGTCCTCCCTGATTGACTGATCAAAAAAGCATGGCCGTAGTTATTGTGTAGTGGCCATCAGACATGGGATAGATGAAGAAAGAAACTTTTCTTCTCGACGGTGCCTCATCATCATCATTATACACGCTAGATGCAGGTAGAAAACACCTCAGCTATGGTGCCTCAGTACAAAAGAAAAGAAAAAATGTGCGAGGCACGCCGGCTGAGTCACCAATATCGGATGGACGTCGTTCCAGAGAGCTAAGAGCCGGCTCTCGTGTCGCAAAAAGTCAAATATGAATTTTCTCTGTTCTCTTCCATAGTATTAGTTTGTACGAGAACATTCTTTTGATTTACTTATGCAATTATTCCCCCTTTTTCCGGAATATGGTCGGAGTTTGATCCGTATGTATGGTTCGCTGATCCATTCGTTTGAAGGCGCTTTTCCTAACACATGCTCTTTCTCATTTTCCACTTACTCCAGTTTACCATGACCCTGTAATTGCCTCTCCTTCGCTATTAATCACTTGCTTACTGGATGGCAGCGCTTCCAACTTTGCTGGGAGCGGTTGGTCATCTCACTGATGCTCTTCTACACAGATTGTTTCCCTATCTTTCAGTTCTTCTGAGTCAATTTACACCTTATTCAATGTAGTCCACTCTTCTCGTTTCAGTTTGTTTCCACTTTTTCTGCTTGCGTTTGCTAACCCACATGTGTCATCCGTCTCGCAGGTCGGACGCACGAGAGCTCGAGGAGGTGGAGCTTCAGGCCGAGGCCAAAACCGCGCTGCTGCCCGTGATGACGCAGGATCTTCTGAAATCTCCCTATCCATTGATTGGATTACAGAGTGCGAGAAGGCGGTGAGCATATTAGATCAGCTGTACAGTCTACAACTGAACAAGCTTTGGAATCCACCGGTGGTCGAGGAAGATTTTATCAATTTGTCTGCAAATTGTTGCTACAAACTGCTCGAGAACCGGTCGATGGCTAGCAGCATGGATGTGCGCGCGGCGATGACCAGTCTGTTGGCCAGTCTTGTCCGACGATACGGCCACTCGATTACGTGTTGTGTGAAGCTCACTCAGCTTCTGCAGTGTTTCCCCCACATGGTCAACTGTCTCATCTCCTTTGTCCGGTCGTTTATGGAGGAAGATCACATGACAGGAGTAGTCCGGGAACTGCTGAAGGTACACTTTTTATTGCCAGTTTCTATTTTCACAGTTTGTGTTCCCATTTCTTGTTGGAACTTGCTCGTAATCGCATACGGTTACCTCTCGCCTCGGGTAAGAAAGCTGTGCCGTACTGAGGGGTAGCATTGGGGCGTGAGACAGCCTTGAGGCTCTTGTTTAGCCGTTTGGGATATTCCTGGTTTTACTTGGTGTGTTACTGCGTTTATCCTCGTGAGCGATAATTTTCAATCTGGAACAACCCACACACCTCTTCATAGCATAGGTCCTTCTCTCATACATCGATTAATGGCTGATGCCGCGTTACCGAATTGGGCAGGACTCTTCAATCAATTATTTGTTCATTTAACCATCGATCGCCTTATGTCTTGTTTTTGCCACTGCGTTCTGGGTACCAACATACTGTTTGCTTTAGACTCGCCATGCTACACTATCTACTTGCGCTACCCGCCAAGCTGCAGGTGGAAAACACCTCAGCCATTGTGCCGCAATACAAAAGACAAGAAGCAAAAAACGAGAGAGGCACGCTGGCTGAGTCCCCAGTAACGGATGGGCATTGTTTTGCAGAGCTAACAGCCGGCTGTCGTGCCGCAAAAAGGGAGTTATATTATGTGTAACGAATGAGATCGTGATTGGAGGGCGAAGCTAAGCGGGAGGTTCATGGACAGAGGAACTCACAACACAAACGCCATTGGGGCCGACTCCTAGCCATATCAGCAAGTGTGTCCAACCAAACGTGTTCATCGTTCTTAGGACCCCAGCTAGAAAGCCGGTATGCACCAAGCGAGGCCAACTTCGAAGTAAGGGTTTTCCTTTCTCTCGACCAAGTCATCGCTTGGCCTTCCCACTTCCTCTTCCAACCGCACTCCCAGCGCGCAGACAATGCACGTCCCGGGAGTCGGTGTGCTGGCATGCGCAACACGTGGCCCACCTATCGGAGCCTGGTGCGTGATATAATGGTGCTGAGAGATTCAGTCGCTCTTCTTGCACCAAACACACGACGCCGAACACGCTCATTGCTCACGCGGTACTCCCGCCAGACATGAGCTAAGCTGCGAAGGCAGCGATGATCGAATGTGACGAGCCGCTTTATGTCTGTCGACCTGAAGGGCCAGGTTTCACAACCGTATAAGAGGGTTGAACGGACGGCTGCATTTTACGTTCTCTTCCCTTCAGAGAGAGAGCGATGTCGCGTCTGCGCCACAGGTGACGGAAATTGACAAAAGCACTTCGAGGTTTTGCTATACGGTTCGTAATCTCAGCTTCGATCCCACGAGCGTTAATATAGCTGCCCAGGTACTTGAATTCCTGAACGATTTCTAGCCGATCAACACCCAGGGCCAGCGCAGGAGTGGCTCCCTGCCAATCTTGGAAAAGAACTTTGCATTTCGATGGAGCAAAGCATTGCTCAAAACGATTGACAGCCAGTGCTAATCAGTCTAGTGCAGCCTGACACGTTTGGACGCTGTCACAAATGAGAGTAATGTCGTCCGCATACTCCAAGTCAAGAAGTCGCTCATCTGAAAGTAGCTCCACACATTCTAGCTCATGTCCAACGAACGTCGTATCTATGGCTTCATCAATAGCGAAGTTAAAGAGGAAAAGTGACGGCGGGCAATCTTGTCTCACATCGCTGGAGATATTGAAGGGCGGCGACAGCTTGCCGTAAACCCTCATTCTGTCCGAACTATGCGCGTACAGCGCTTTGATATTGTTTACATATTTATCGGGCACACCTTTTCTCAGCAGACAGTCTTAGAGGGCACATCGATCCACCGAATCGAAGGCACCTTTGATGTCGAGAAACACAACAACGGTAGATCGTCAATAAACATGGCGGTGATCCAACTATTGATGCAGCCTCGATTTCGACGAAACCTGGCTTGCTCTTCGTGGATCTGGCCTTCACGAGTGCCAGTCAATCTGTGCATAACGACAGAGACAAGTAATTTAAAGGCAATTGAGATCTGGGTCCATTTTGTTGTCACGGCTCTGTATTATCGGTGCGCACACCAGCGGCCCACCAGTTTGCTCTAATGCTAACCACGACTCACTAGGTGAAGCCCCTACCACACTCGCCCATACGAAGCATAGACACATTTAAGCCTCGCCAGATACTGTTGTGTTCATAATCGCAAACTGACCAACATCTATTAATTCTCAGGAAATATGCAGCTACAACGGTGCTGATCTAGAACGGGACGCACAAGCCACTCAGAACTTCTCCTCCTTTTTGCTGGAAGTGGCAGCAGCCTATCCTGGACTGGCGCAGTCAATTTTACCTTTACTTCGTCCACGTCTGGATGAGGACCCCTACCAGATGCGAAATTGCGTTCTTGGCGTAATCGGTGAGGTCTTATCCTCATTTGCGCGCCGCGAACAACTGGATTCCAAAGAATCAGTCCAACGCGAACGCTTGATGGATTTGTTGCAAGTAAGCAAAGCGTTTCACGCAAACCAGCGACTTTTTGTGATTATCACTATTGACTTGAAGTCCGCCGTCGATTCGCCTATCACCCATCTGCTACGCTTTTGACTACTCTATCTAGTTGCTAGTGAAATCCTTGTTTTTCTTATTTCACACATTGACTTTTCTGGTCTTGTGATTGTCTGCGATATGCGTTGTTTCCCCTGTATTGTCTTTCTGTGCAACTTATCTACAACGATCATTAATAACCTTATTGTTAATCTTCCTTCCGGACTAAATGCCTTGAATGTTGCCAAATGACAAACGTAGATTATTTGGTTGATATAACTCACTTGATGTCTGTCCCAGTTCACTTATAGACGCTTTGCGTGTTAGCGGGTTTTTCACCTTCAGCTTACGGGATGTCTATGCATAATTGATCTGCTACACAATGTCTCTGCAGGCATCAGACGTTTCCGAACCCAACACTACGGCACATATCCTCTGACGCCTTTATGGACTAGTGGCATTGACATTCTGCTTTTTGAAAATTAGAAATTCCTCCTCTTCGATCCTTGATGTCTACGGTTTGTAACTTATGCACGAAAGGAAGCGCTGTCGTTTTCTCTGGCCGGTGTTGGCCCCATTGATACTTTTGGGATCGGATCTCTGGTTAGCATAAGGCTTCGCATGCATTCAGACGACCACTGCGGCGTGTGCTATCTGTCGACACTGAGCCTGCTTTGGTGTAGCTTGGTCTGACGGATGGACAGTCCGGGCGA